TCGTCATTTGAAGGAAAGTCAAATAAAAGGAACAAATGATATTGAAGATATGAAATATCCAAAAGTTCAAAAGTAAGTGAAAATTGAAATAATTTTTTTATATTTGGTTTAATTTTTTTTTCAAGCATTCTAATTCAAAATTTACTTAATAAAATAAACTGATAAATCTTACTAGAGATCAATAAAATTAAAAATATATATAATTGATCAAATGTTATTTAATATATTTAAAACTATAAAAATACAAATCAAACATTAAATCAGTAATATTTGATTTTCTCTGCATGGTCTTGAACATTCATGAAGAGAAGCTTTACAGTTTTACCACTCATTTATTTTCTTTTTGAGTATTTTAACTGGATAAAAATGTTTTATGCTATTTTGTAATAATCTACAACTTTATAGTTTAAACTATGCTGTTGTCTTTCATAAGAACTAATTTAGGATTTGCTCCATGTGAAAGGGGAGTTAAGGTGCATAGTGTCAAAACCAACAAATAGTCCACAATTACACTGGAATATAGAAGAATTTTTTAAGTACAAGACTCTTTTTAATTTATTTACTTACACTTCAATAAAATGTAATTTATTTAATATTTCAGTTACAAAAACCCAAAAATGGATTTACATATGTCAGAGAATGTGTAAATTCAATGTATAATTTTATGTATAAAATGCATTTAAAAAAACAGTAATTGATTCTTTTCACAATTTTTCATTGAACAAAGAGAAAATAATTAAGCAAAAATTTAGCATTAATACTTTTTTCAGTTTCAGTCTTAAAATTTTTAAGTTTAGTAAATTACTCCAAAAGTTGGGAAATAAAGAATAGATATATATCCCATTTATAACTCTGTATAATTATGTAATGTTAACATAATAAATCACACCATTTACACTTTTTCTGGCAGCAACACTTTAATATACAAACATTTTTGGAGCTATATCAGGTTTTAACATTAATCAAATTGAACATCTATAATGAAATAAAAGTTTGGAACAACTTTGGTGTTCTATTGATGTCAGAAGATTTGAAAATAGATATCTTCCACCGTATATTTACCTAGATAGAATTATATAAACAACAAAATCAATTAATTAAATAACTGCATATTGTTAATGTTAAAACCTNAACTTCTAACTTAAAAGGTAATTTTCATTTTTTAAATAAAACATATAAAACATAATACAAAATATTATTGTAAATTTTTATAATAAGATTTTAAAAAGCAAAGATGGTCAATACTTTGATTACTCAATCCTATTCCTATTTTAGTAATGAAAAGTCATGCTACCGAGAATGCCCATTCCAATTCAATTGATGTGAGTGGAATTGTGTTTAATGCATTTAAGAGAAGACAAATGTTATGTGTTTTTTCACCTGTAGCCTGCAAGATTTCTAGTTCGTTTTTGAGATTGTAGTACTTCTTTTGCTCTCTAGTATTCTTGATTTGTCTACCTCAGCTGCTGTAAGAAACATCAAGCTTATATCCTGATAATTTGGCAGTCATTTTTCTTTAATAATTAGGTTAATGAAGAAAAACTTCATACTTGCAGACTTCATACTCGTTTGTATCCTTGCCCAATTTGTACAACCTGGCGTTGTGCAGTTATTGAAGTTACTGGGCATGGTTAAAAATTAAGACAGTATAAGCACAATTCTTTCAGATATTACAGGTTCTGACAAGTAAAGAATTTTCAGAGTCCTGCCACAAATAAGCTACGTATTGATTATTGACCATTTGTGACATGCCATAACGTGCAAAAATTTTAAAAACTAATAAATAGGTTTAAAATTAATAAATACAAATGTATTCTGACAGTTTATGAGTTAATTATACTTTCTATTTGCAAAATTTTCTCAACTTGAACAAAATAAGAAAAAAGTGAACTTTTAAGAAATTTGTAGGATTTCTCAGGATGAGATGAATTTCCTGGGTTAAAAAAACAACCAGGATCCTGGGATCTCGTTTGAGAAACCCTAATTGTGACAATGTCATAATAAATAATTGCTTGTTGCTATTAAGTTTTTATTTTACAGCAATGTTCAAAGCAAACAAAAAATATACTTTGAATTACTGATTCTTCTCAATTTATGAATGAGATCTAATCATAGAAGTTGTTCATTATATGTTAGTGATTGTTATCTATTAAACACTATTAAACACTATTATCTATTATTTTTAAGAAAATAGAAACAATTAACAAAATTAAAAGGAACAACATATAAATTTACAACTAGTTTCATAATTATATGCATATGCAAATTGTCTTCATACAGAATATGCTTGTACAGAATGGTTCACATACTCATAGGTTCCAAAAAGAATCATGTTCATATTTTCAGTTATAATTAGTGTTATCAGCTGAAAAAATAAAATTCCACCTAAAATAGATTATTGATTTAAAAGAGATATATAACAGCATTTTTCAAAGACAGGTAACTTTACTCAAAATTATTCATCAGCATTAGGAGAAAGATTGTATATTATGTTGTGCCCTGCATGAAAGAAGATAAATGTTGCATATCAAAACAGACAGAAGAAACTGTGGTGCATCTGAGTTTATTTGGGCTTGCTGAATTTCAGGAATTAAGCAAGTCTGAATAAACCTGAATAAACTAGTGATAAATATACTATTACATTTCAATTAAAGACAACTCCAGACCAGTTAATTGCATGTCCAGAAATTAGACTTATGAAAGAACTGCAAGTTCCATACTTATCAGCTTCTTCCATCCAGCACATTGTAGAATGTAGGACCAATGTTTGAAGAATTTGCGAAAATTATATGGCAGGTTATAGGTAGAAATTTATCATTACATTGGGCAAAGCATGATTTCTCAACAGTTGTGTTGAGTTGGTCACAATGTGAAAATTAACTCTACGTTTATTATCAGCAAGAAGTGTTTGAACTTATGTACAAACAAGAAATAGTTGCATTATATGGTAATGATGCAAAGAAAGGGTGAACCCATTAAGACAAAGCATTCATTTCTAATCACATTTGACTATAATTTTTATGTTACAGTTTGAAACTGAAGCTAGTATTCATGTTACATCCTTTTGCTAAATATCCACCAAATCACTTGATGCTGTACCAGTAAACATTTTTTGTATAGATTTTTGAAACAAGTTCTTAAAAATTATCATTCTTATAGTTTGGATGGTCTATAGAAAATATTTTTACAGGAGTAGATAAAGTGAATCATTCTGTTCTCTGAAGCACATCTACAGTAGAAATTATACTGTCAAGCTATAGTCCATGCATAATGGAATAGCATTGAACATTCTACTTAGTGAATATGCTAATTTTCAAAATCATATTTTCTCCCTGAAAACATTTCCATAAAGCTAAAACTATACATATTAGTACCTTATTTGTTGTTAATAGTTTTCACTGATCAATAATTTTATTAACTAAGTCAGAATTCACTTTTTCCACATAATTGGTTCCAGATGCAGGTGAAGTAGAAGGAAGATGGTTTGATGATAAAATAACTGTAGTTTTAAAACATTTGTCTGGAAAATATTGCAATAAACTTTATCAAAACGTCACTGTAACACGCTATTCATTATAAAAACTTTTTACTTTGATAATTCATGTTTGAGTCTTGTTCCTCAAAGATTGTCACTTTTCAGAAATCATCTTAAAAGCTGCAGCTATATTTTTGCTATAATTGTATGGAGAGATTGTGAAGCACCTTTTGTTATTTCTTTGTGATTCTCTTGTTACTTCTATTCTTAAATTTGTCTCTAGTTCCATCAATTCATTAGTTATTAATTTCTATGACTTCAACAACTCTCACATCAGTCACATAAAGTGCATAAATTTTGAAGAGTGGGTCTTTAGAAACAGTATTTCCCTGAAGGAAAAAAATTGAAATCAGTCTTTAAACATTATTGTTTTCATTTAAGCATTTCTATTACATTTCCAAATAACAGGAAAGGATGAATTCACCATCCTATTACAAGTAAAAAGTTAAATGTTCAAAATACACAACAACCTACAATTAACCAATAACCGGCGTGAAGCTCTTCATAAAATCAGTGAATGTTTTCAATGTCCCTCCTGGGCTCTTCTTCAGACTTATTTTATATCTTTCATTTGAAGAGTTTCATGCCGGTTATTGGTTAATTGTAGGTTGTTGTGTATTTTGAGTATATACAACCCGGTGTGGTGAGAAAGTACATTAAGTTAAATGTTATTTTGCAGCTGTATGGAAACTTGTTATAAAGGATATTTTCTTCCAAAACAGTTGTGACCTTTTCTTCATTTTTGTAATGCTTTCAGGAATTCAATTGCAGATTGAATATCTGTGCTCACCAATTCGTCCTGAAGTCTTAAATTTGGAATTTTGTTCTCTCTTTTAAAATGTGAAAACCATCCAACGCTAATAAAAAATTAAATAAATAAGAAACATTCTATTGTACATTCGAGTCCCATTGCTCTTGTTCTTGGTTTCATCACTTTCTTGGTTTTACTGCATGCTACATGGAACAGTCTTCTAGTTTTAACAACTCAGAAATGCTAAATTTGTGAAGATTTTGTACTTCTGTCAATTGCAATTTAGTTAGGCTGTTAGTCCTTGTCAACTGTGTGTTTCATCTACATGCATGTTTGTGAATATATTTATGTTGATGAATTATATACCAAAGTATATTCATATTGCCTCTGCAAAGCATGTGAAGGGACAAATGAAGATGGACTCAATTATATATATAGTCTGAAAGGAAATATATTTTTCTATAAGTATATTCATATTTCAATACATGTTCCTTGTATAGTCCCTTCTGAATTTTGGGTTCAAATAATCAGTTTAATGCAATGGAAAAAAAAATATAATAAATCATTTAGACTTTTATAATGTTTGACCAAATCTGACTGACTGTTTTGCCAATTTCTTTTTCTATTATACTTATTAACTTATTTAGTATTATTATATTAACAAAAATATAATAATTTTAACAATTCTTTATTTTTACAAAATATTTATTATAGAATTCAGCTTGAAGTATTTTCAAGAATATGGATTCGAGTATCCTATATTATTTAAAGATAAATCTGGCTTAGGAATGCGGTAAGATTTTTTTATGTATTATTATTATGACTTAATATTTTTTTAAAATTATATGTAAAAAATACTTAGAATACAAAATTTTCATATTAAATTATAGAATATAAATAATACAAATAATCATTTTAAACTATATATTTCAGAATGCCAAGTAATAATTTTACTGTAAATGATGTTAGACAATGTGTTGGTAAGTTTTATTTGTATGATCTAATGTAAATAATTTTTGAACAGAATTTATTCAAAAATTATATAAAAATATAGTAGAGATAATTCATTTTGTAAAATCTTTATGCAGCTGTTTAATCATTTGTAATATATATATATTATATTGTTTCATTAATCAAATGTATGAAAATTTGATTGCTAGAAATCAAATTTGCAGGGTATACTTATAGTTTTCACTTAAACATTTATATGGTTGTTAAAGAAGTAAATATATTCATTAAAAAAGAAAAAAATAAATAAAAACAGTTAATTAAATGCTTAAAAGTTGAAGTGAAATTTGAAATCTGAGTTGTGAGTTGTTTAAATTTCCATTTGTTTTGTTGAAAAATGTCATTTTATTGGCAAAATTCAGAAATGTCAGTGAAATTGTTAAAAGAACTCAGATGCTATCTTCATAAATATATAGTAATATTTGAAGTATTCTATTATAATTATTATTATTGTTATTATTAGCAAGGAAAATAATAAAAGAAACTTATAGTAAGGATAAAGAACAATGTTAGGAAATAAATTTCAAATTACAAACAACTTTAAATTTCATTTGTTTTACACTTTTTACTTTTTACATAATTTGTAATAAATAAATATACAGTAGAATGTTGATTATCCAAATGCCAATCAACCAAAATGTCGATTAACCAAAAGCATTCCAGTCAGACTGTGTTGTGCTGAATCGAATGTTTTTGATACTACATTAACTTCTAAAGTATAATTTGTTTTGTTTTTATTTGTTATTTTTCAATATATTTATTTTGTTTGTACAAAATAAAGAAATAATTTTTAACAATACAATAGTCACAATTATTATTATAAAAATTTTCATTAGTCTTTAAGATCGACGAAAATTCAATGCAAAGCGACATGCAATGGAGAAAAATTTAAACATAGGATATATTAATATACTATTATTGGGATATACCAGGGGTCGGCAGTTTGTCAAGTGAGAAGAGCCAAATTGTCATGAAAACAGGATAACAAAAGTACCAGAGAGCCGCATATTAATTTAAATGTGCGAAATACGACACACGACAGGGGCGCCTCTAGTGGACATTTTTCGCATAACGTTACACGGATGGACGGACACGCATTCAATGCGTTATACATATAGATATGCTTCAAATGCTACCACTCTTATGCGACACATATTGATCAACGCGAGTGTGGTCGTGTGCGGACGGCGTATGATTCTATCTCATAAAGGCATAAGTTATAAGGCTGCGGTGAAATGAGGTGAGGTGAAATTGGAGTTTATGTCCGAAGAGCTGCAAACGTCTATGCAAAGAGCCGCATGCAGCTCGTGAGCCGCTAATTCCGACCCCTGCATTAGGGGTATCATTCACTGAGAATTTGTTCCTTGTGGCCTGACAGTCAATTCTTACTTTTACTGTGATGCTTTGAGGAACCTTAGACAAAATGTGAGACAAAAAATACCGATCTGTGGCTCAACTGCAATTTGCTGTTACATCACAACAATGCGCCTTCTCACATCTCTTTGAAGACAACACAGTTTTTGGCAAAAAACAGGATGGTGGTTGTTCCAATCCTCCTACTTACCCGATTTAGCCCTCTCTGACTTTGTCTTGTTCCTGAAAATGAAATTGAAGTTGAAAGGGCATTGCTTCAAGATCATCAATAAAGTCCAAGAGGAATTGCAGGTTGTATTGGATAGCTTGCAAGAAGAAGACTTCCATGATGTCTTTGAGTCATGGAAGAAGCACTGAGATCACTGTGTACATTCCCAAGGAGTCTATTTTGAAAAGGATGGTGATTAAATTCTAATAACATTATTCTATAAGTTCTTACAGGTTTAGTCTGAGAACTTTCTGATGCCACCTTGTGTCATGTTCAAACAAATTTATATTGTAAAATTGAATTTTATCTTATTCACTAGCTGGGGCCAATTTAGTAATTATGTCACCCTGGGCTACCCCTTTTGAATATAGGCATAGTGTAATTTAATCAAAAGATCTGAGGTCTTGGACCTCACAATTTATTATTATTATCTGAAATTAAGAATATTTTATTACAGTAGACCCCCTATAACGCTTAGATACGTTCCACGCTAATCGAATTTTACGTTGTAGGAACGATTAAATACATGAGCCAATCGCAGCCCGATAAGTGGGAACTTTACGGACTAAGGCTGTTCGAAAGGTTTTCTTCTATAAAATTAACCGATTCTAGACTAATTCCACTCAACATTTCCAAAATACGTATAATTTTTTGGGAATAATCTGTATAAACTATGCTATAAACAAAAAATTGTAGGATTACTTACACCGTTCGACTACGCCGTTGCTTAAAGCTGGTTTT